AGAAGAATCTAATCGAGCTAATTATAAAGGAAAAGCAATCTTCCCCACCAATAATATCCCTTGATGCTTTCAGTTTGGGCCTGCGCAAAGAAAAAGAATAAAACCATTCTCCAGCTCAACCATGTATTAAGAAGAAACCAGCTTCCCAAGGTCTCGGACATGCTTTCCTAGTACTTGATTTAATGTGGGATATGAAGTCCAAGATTCTAAATGAATGCAATATTGTATTAAAGTTATGAAACTGCATGAACTTCTCAAGCTGTTCTGAGAGCCGGAGCCATCAGCGTGGACATTCCTGAGATATGATTTCAATAAATAGCTGTTCTATCTCTAATGGGCCATTAAGTAGGAGACACAACTTCCCATTTCTATTTGGTCATCTCGGTGGTTTATCTGAGCTGAAAACTCGCCATACATAACAATCTCCCCACGGTCAGAGAAACTTAAGCTTCAGCTATTAGCGCATAAAATATTAGGTGATTTCTCTTCATTCTGTGATTTAAGAAAGTAATAAAGAACCCCCGGATCCGTCAGTTCTTGTCAGGAAAAGAGCAGCAGCTGTAAAAACACCACCTCGGGCCTTTGATCATTGCTAGTGAGTTGTTTGGTTAGCGACTCACAAAACCATTCTCTCTGTGATTTCTCTTCCCGAAACACCTGTGCAGTGCGCCCTACAGGGTGCTAAGCAAAACTGTCAGCCACACTTGTCATTTCATAGCCTGGATTTCTAACATCATAATAAATAGATACCCCTGAAAGCGTAACAAGCTCACAATTCATTTTGACCACTAAACTATTAGAAGAGAATTTGCTAAAGACACTATATCGAATATCCACAGACTATTACCAAATGGCGCGTAAATAATTACATCCCGAGAGTGATGAGTATGTTTTATTCTTGGCCTCATTTTGCTGCATCTATGTGATTTGACTAAGTCTTCACCGTCTATAAGTGTAGAGAAACACTGCTTCACAGAACTCGCCACAGTGGTGGACGTGCTGGAAATCGCTATTATCCAATACTACAGCCACCAGCCAAAGGAGCCAGCCAAGTACTTGGATTCAGGACTGGATCTGGCAACTGGGGGGTTAGACTACCATTTGGTAGGGATGTCTGTGGAGCTCATGGAGGATGGAAGCTTGTTATGGAGCTCAGATGAGTAGGGAGCAGAGAGCGGTGTCATGGGAAGGTGAGGAGGTGGGACGCACTGGAACAGGTGGCTAAGCAGAGGACTTTGGGGGGCTCTGCTCCCCAAACCAGTGATGTAAAAAGTGGATAAAGGAGTGGGGAACTAGGTTGATATTTGGCTTTTGTTAGGGAAACGGGGTCCATTAAGCTGAAAGTCTCTGCATTAAGAAAAGCAAGCAATAGAGTGAGAATAGACTAGCTCCTTAGGCAGGCTTGGAATGTTTGTGGTCTTGGTAGTGTAACTGTGACCCAAATGCCAAAGGAAATCATAAGAGCTGTAAAATCTTATTTTCCTCTGAAAAGCCGGAAGAATCCATAATGCTACAAAGAAGGTATTCTATTACTTCCTTTAACAAGAAAATTTTTACAGATTCATATTGCTTAGATTGCTTTGTCAAAAACAAAAAGCCATATTCTCAAACCTCTCTGAAATCATTTCTTAAAGCCAACTTTAGGTTACAAATTCCAAAAACACTAAAATGTCATTTCAAAATATACACTCTATATTTACATATAATGATACTAATCAAAAGTTAAACATGGCTGAAATAATAGCATTTTAACATATAATAATAGAATTTATACATATTGATTAGTCGGCTCCATTTTACAGGTAAGAACAAAGAAGCCTAAAAACTATGTAACTAACCCAACCACGACCCAATCCTAGGTCAAGCCACCTTACATTTTAAGACAGACTAAAGACATATCACGATATTTGGGGTTATCTGTCCTATGTATTACAGAAACATGGAAAATAGAATATTCACTTTTTCATGACACAAAATAATCATACATATTTGCCACATACAGTGTGGTGTTTCTATCCATGTAAACATCATATCCTGAACAAATAATAATTAGCAAAATGAAAAAATTCTAGTACTGTGCCTCATTAGGGACAATGAACAGAGTCCCTTTATATCTCCCAATTCATGAAACGCATCCTTATGTTTTATATTATCCTTTTCCTACTTTCCACTCTTTTTTTTTTCAAAAGTGCTTTGTTAGTATCCTGTATGTTAGGAAATCTAACCCAACAGACAAGGTTGTTGTGTGTTTAATACCCTTTTTTAAATGTCAGACTTTTGTACAGTTTTTCCAAAAGTCTCCTCCCTTATTGAAAATAGAAAAGACGGTGTATGGATGATGTGGAGAAAAAGTAGTGGTCTTTCAGGAATTAATTGTTAAAACCATCATAGTATTCAAATACTGCTGTCAAATTCTTAGGGTTAGCTGTAGACAACAGGTCCTACAAACCATAAAATCTTGATGATTTGCATGCTTGCTGATATACAAAGAAACCAGGCCCCATGTTTTGGGTAAGGTAAAGGGATGGACTGGTAATTCGGTACATGGGAAACCTGACAGAGGTCTAGCCCATACATGGCCAGTGTTGTGGGTTGTTTAGGGTCAGTAAGTGATTTGGGAAATCCTCAAAGATTAAAAGTTGGACCAGGTATCACATATTCCACTCAGGCTACCTCAGTGCATTTCTGGAAGTAATAGTGATTCCTCAAAATGAAGTCATTTATATTTTTAGCCATGCTCTGTTGTGTGCACTGAGTGGTTTCTTGAGAGCAGTGTTTCCTGTGGCCCCGTGCCAAGACTGGCTTTATTTGTTTTTCATTGGGCTTTTCATTATCGTGCTGCTATGCACCTGGATCCTTCTACCTCCTCCGACATGGCTGGCGTAGCTTAAGCAGAGGCATGATGCTAGGAGTAGGTGGAACCCTTTTGTTCAGTGAATGCCCATCTGAAACCCCTAACTGTGGTGCTGTTCTAGTGGCTTTAATCTTCTAACAGCAGTCAATTATCCGTTTATAACATGGTCTGATATGAAACTGTTTATACCCATCTATTCTGGCACTTACAAGAAAAGGTACTAATCTCACTTTATACCAATCTTGACGACCCCCCCCCCCATCTCAGGAAAGGAATCTAGATAGATCCCGCCCCACTCTGCATTTCTCTTCATTCTATAGGTTCAATCTCCAACTAAAACTGTTGGATGGTTTCAATAGTTTTCTGCATTGCACAACTATCACCTAAATCCATGCCCATGCCATCCCTAAAACAACTATTGCATCCTCCTAATGGTCTTCAGGACCCCCCAAGAATGCCCTTTCTAGCCTTTCTAGTTCATTTTCTTTTTTTTTTTTTTGAACATCTGTTAGTGCCTGTTTTTCTCCATGACCAAGTATTCTATCCCTTCTTTCATAAGTATCTTGTGTTACACGTTAAGAGGATGGAGCTTGATTTATCCAAAGGGAAAAAAAAAAACACAGCAGTTCAAATTCTTGAACTTCCATCCATTCCTCAAGTGTTCAATCTTTTATTTTTGTTTTAATAGCATATAATCCCTGTTCTTGTTTAAGAACCACAATGTGGTAATGTGATATATGCGCACCATGGATAATAATCACATGTGTCCATTAACATCTCATCTTTTTAAATATTCCTATGTGTTGGAAAACATTTAATTTCTCTAATAATTTTAGGATATATAAAACTGATAGAATATATCTTCTACTGTGTGATACAGCATTTTAATGCATTTCTCCATTCTCTATCCCACTATCCAGCCTCCCAGCCACTCCTTATAGTCTTGCAACTTCCTTCCTACTTTCTAGCTCCCCAGAATGAGTGAGAACACGTGGTTGCCTTGTTCCATTTGGAATGTTAGACTCTTCAGTTTAAAGAGAAACTCTGTCTTGTAAACTTCGAAGACTGGAATTTAGGGACAAAATGAGGAATCTCTGCCTTTTCTGTTTCGCATGTTAATCAGGGGCTTAAAATAATCATTTGAGATCTGAGACTTTTAAGAGTAGACTAGTCCTTGGAAAATGTGTGGCCTTTTCATCTTATAGGGAAGGAAACTGAGGCCCAGCCATAAAAGTCAAAATGATCTTTCTAAATTTATAATTTCACCATGTAACTCTTTTCTAAGCCTGCCCATGGCTTTCCATGATAGCCAAAATGAATACAAACTATCACTATGCCATACAATGTCTGTTTAGCCTACTCTGGGCTTACTTTTCCTCCTTACATTTTTATTATCTCTCTGTTCTAGTCCCAGTATACATGTTTGGTTGGTTGTTTTTCCCTCCCTATGGGTTATTGCACATGGTTTCCCCTTTGTCCTTCTTGTTTTGGGTCCTAAGCACACTTCATATATTTGATTATACATCCTCTCCAAAAATGTGCCCCCAATACTCTCAGGATTCCAAAGTAATCATCCCATGGCACCCATTTGCAATATTCAAATGGTAGCAATAACGACAGTTGCTAGCAGATACTTGCGTCTTATTCATTGTTCCATCCCTATGTTTGAAGAATCTGACGTTCAATATTTTAAAATGAATTATTTTTACTTTTAACCTGTCATGGCATGTGTCAATTTTTCCATCAGCCCTCCTCACAAGATCTATTTTCAGATTAGTTTTTAAAAATAAATTGATTCATTCACATCCTTCCATAAGTCACTGATAATCCTGAATGACAACTCTTCCTAGAAGGAAGCACTGGTACTTTTACAGAAACAGAATTCTGAAGTCATGTGAATGACTCTTTCAATGCAGAAAATTTGGCCATAAATAGTAAGTCATGAGAGCTGTACATGAGGGAAGGTCGGTTCCCACAGCCTTCAAACTAGTCTCCTGGGTGACCACTCTTCCCTCACACTCAAAGGAGGATGAATCTATTTGTATTTATACAATTCAGAGTACTTAATGTTTTACCTTATGTAAATTATTATTTCACACGGCCTAAATGCTGAATTTATCAGGTAACATTTCTGGTTTGATTTCAGGGAAGCAATGTTATGGAGGATCAGGACTTGTTGGAAATTGGAATCCTTAATTCTGGACACAGACAGAGAATTCTGCAGGCAATCCAGCTCCTTCCAAAGGTAAGGGATGCTTTATCGGGATTACCTTATGAATGATTTCCAGTGACTTACAGTCAAAGCACATAAGTGTTGACATGGGAATACAGTGTTTCCACATGCTGCTGCTGCCCATCAGAGTGGTCTTAGGTCCCACTTTAATTGGACACAAAAGACTACCACAAGCTTCACTTGGTTTTAAACTGACCTACAAGAATGCAATATTGGAAATACTGCAGAACAGTGGAACAGATTCAGAATACCTCTTCTGTGTGAGTCCTAACTCATGTCCAGTGACAACAGAGGTCAAAAAAATGGGATTCATGTTGAGTGAGTACAGTAATGCCCTTGACTTAAAAGCTTCATGAGTGGGAGAGAGTCTTGGTTGACTATACATCTAACAAAATTAATATCTAGAATATATAAAGAACTAAAAAATAATTGAATGTCTCCAATGCCAAACAACCCAATCCATAGATAGGTTAATGAAATGGAGAGGTAGTTCTCAAAAGATGAATTATAGATGGCCAACAAATACGTTGAAAACGTCCAGCATCTTTAGTTATTGTACTGGATAGTTTTATGACAGCTTGGCATAGGCTAGTTATTTGAGAGGCAGAAACCTCGATTAAGGAAATGCACCCTAACTAAGACAGCCATCAAGGAAACACATAGTCAAACTAGATCAAGATTCCACCTCATCCCACTCTGGATGGCTAGCATTAAGAAAACAAACATCAACCAATGCTGGAGAAGATGTAGGGAAAGAAAATATTTTTGTATTGTTCGTAGGGATGTAAATTAAGCCCATTCATTGCTCCACAAGTTCCTTATAAAATTCCAAATAGTACTTTCATCACCTAGCTATACAATAGATGGGTGTGTGTCTGAAGAGCTCTATTTAGTATACTACACAAAAACCTGCATACTGCAGCTATGGAGTCAGCTTGGGTATCCATTATCATATGAATCGGGTTTTTTTTTTAGTGTTGTATATAGTATATATACATGACAGAGTTTTGTCCACCATAAAAAGAGTAAAATTGTGTCATTATCTGGAGGATATATGCTACTGAGATTATCATATTAAGCCAAATAAAATATCCTTTTATTTTGTGGTCCTAGAAATCTTTACAAATAAAACAGTCCTATCTCCACACACACCACACACATGAGCAACATTCAAACAGAAGGGGAAGTAGTGGGATGGAAGAGACTATCAGAAGGAAGAGTGGGAAGGGGACAAGGGGAGAGATGGGTGTGGTCAAAGTACAGGATATACTCAAAGAATTTGTCTATATAAAAGCAAACACTACATGCAATGAATATACACCAATAAGAATATTGGAAGAGCCTCGTGCTCCATTAGAAGTAATATCTCTTATAGCAGCTCCAAAACTTCGCCTCTAGATTCCCTACAAGGGACTTGCCTAATAACAAAAGGCATCATTTGGAGAGGTCCACAGTGTCCCATCCCATCGAGCATTTACAGTTGATCAGTAGTCTAGATGTGATTTGTCATCCAGGTATCATTTTTTACTGAAAACTGTGTAACCTAGCAACAGAGTTGACCTTATGTTTCCAGAAAAGATTTTAAAGGAGCTTAAAGGAGGTGGTAGGGTGTAAGTGCCAGCCTTTCAAGGTAGGTAGGATTTTAATTGGTAAGGGAAGGAAAGGCGCTTCAGGAGGCCAGAAGGAACAGTGTAATTACAGGTGTTACCCAGGCAATCACTTTCTGGAAACATTTGGGAAATAATTAGTCATTTAAAAGCCAGTGAGATCGACACAACAGTGTGACTGTTCTTAATGCCACTGAACTATAGGGTTAAAATATTTAAGTTGATAAGTTGTATGTGTTTTTACCATGATTTCCAAAATCATCAGAACAGAAGAAAATGCAATGTGCTTGAAATAGTTGAAAAGTGTGTGGCCCATAGTAGCCAAAGATAAAGCAGGAAGAGTAGGTTTTTTTTCCATTTCTACAGGGCTAAGGATCTTTAGCGTATTTTGTGGGCACTGGGGAATGCCTATGACTAGAATATTCTAGTCTGCTTAATTCTGGAGGCAATTTACCAGAGGAATTGAAGGAGAAAAAGTTGAAGTGGGGTCTGCCAGCTGAGAAAAGATGAAGGGAGGTAAGATTGGAACAGGTGAACTGTAATGGGGGCACCTACATCCATCAGTGATTCTGGTGTCTTCTCCCTTTTTCTCTAGGGAGGGTAGAGTTTCCCCTCAGACAGAAAAAGATAAATATTAATCATAGTTTCTAAGGAATTGGTATAATGAAATTTGCCCACTGACGGTGTACTGAGTTTCTGCTGATGGAAAGTTAACACATTAACAAATTTGAGGAGAGACAAGCACGCTGCAGAGCTTAATCGTGAGTTTCTATATTAAAAGGGGAAGAATGAAAATGTCTCTAGAACTAATTCTAAAGTAATTCCCATAGGCATGTTATTCACCTCGCTACTTAGAGTATTATTTCCTTAGTAAAAGTCCTACGTGCCTTCCGCAAGGGCTTCTATAAAGTCATACCCAACAGCCAATGAAGTTCCCGACCCAGGAGAGAGCTAGGTGCTCCCCAGATCAGGGAACTGCCCACTCCATGATGCTGCCAATATTTAAAGTTCAGTTCAGGCACTATCATTTCACTTCCTCTGAGAAACTTTGCCTAACCTGTAACCACTTCTCACTGCATTGGCAGTTAGGAACCTAATCCATGTACACCCCCTTCACTAAGCCTGCCAAGGAGGATTCTGAGCTGTTGTCATGGTTAGGTTGCTGGAACCAATGTTTCATTGATCCACCCTGGACCGTTCACTCACCTCCACTCTCCCTCCTGATGGCTCGCTCTCTCTCTCTCTGCACATGGATTTTCACAGTGTCTCCACCAACCCTTCTAAACTATGAAATCACAGCACACCATGCTGAAAATCACCAGTGTGGTTTTCTAAGCCTTCAGACTTAGAAAAAAGCCCTTACCTTGGCCTATAAAACTCAGTAGAATCTGACTCTTTCTTACCTCACGGTCATATTTATCATTTTCTCCTTCTACATTCTAGTTGGTGACTTTCTCTTTGTTATACAAAGTGACAAGCTTATTTCTGCCTTGGGCGCTTTGTGCATCCTTCAGACCCCATACATCACTGAGGCTTGAACTCAGATACCCACTCCACAGAGGCTTTCCTGACCTAACAGTTCCCCCCTCCGCAGCTATCACTCTCTTTAATAGTGCCTGCTTCATTTTCCCCACAGCACCTGTGGTTACCTGAAGTGCCATTGTTTGTTTTTTCATTCTTTCCCATCTTGCCATGAGGTAGCCAATCCCATGAGTCTGGGATCCTTGGCTCCTTTGCACCTCTCTCTACAGTCAGCCCCTTGACAGTTCCTGGCACCAAGCAGCTACCCAAGAAATACCTGGGGATTGAGAACATACAGTAACCTCTCATTTATTTGAGATTTTTATGTCCTTATGCTTGCTCATATCTGGAGATACTGATGACAATTTGTCACTTCTGTGACATAAGCATCCTCATGGCAGAGATCACTCAATGCCTTGAAATTTCCTTGTGCCTAGTCCAATAACATGACCATTAAAAGAATCAGTGAATGAGTAAATAAATGTTGCTTCATGTGCCATACAAATATTTTTAAAACGCAGAATGCCTCAATTTTAAGATGATTCTGTAGTCATTCACATACAATTTCATGAGAAAAAAAAACTTAACCTAGAATTATTTGGAGAATAAATGAAGTGTTTATTTTTAAGAAAGGATATTATCCCCATTATAGAAAGCAATGTTATAGAAACAATGCAAAATTAAGCCGCACTCAAGAGGCTAGTGCAGAAGTGTCTACTGCGAGCACACAATGAGAAGGGAATGCATCAGAATAGCCACATCCATCCTCCACAGCACAGTAGACTGTTACAATGCTGCAAATTGATGCTTTGCCTTTTTAGGTAATGAGCCCAGTCATCAGATGGCTAATAGTGTAATATTAGTGCTGGGACATTCATCTGCATTCAGTGAGGCTTTGCACTGCTAGAATAATTGACAGAATGTCTCTTTATTTTCGTCACACAATTTTGGTCCTCAGAATGTTTATGCCCCTCATCTGTCATGAGAAGCACTCCAGAATCACTATCGGAGATGCCTTTGTAACACACTGTATCTGAGAATTGGTGAGGTTGCTCCCAAACAGAGAAAAGAGAGCCTTCAAAGTACAACTGTGATCTGTTGGCTTGTTTCAAAGCATGCTTTATTATGGTCTGTTGATTCAAATTTTAAAGAAAAATAACTTCTTTGGCAAGATTTGACCTGTAATATGTCTGTTTTAATATACACTGGTGCAAAGATCCACACGTTTTCAAATACAGTTGATATATTCATGGAGTAGAGTATGCTGTGTATATTCTAGCCACACTCAGCTTCAGGATAGTAATCCATTGAGTCAGCTCCTTCTCACATTAATTTGCCTCTGTGTTTTGTGTTGCCTGGCCTCCAGCAATAAAGCATGGCTATCAATTTTCACACAGCATCCACTTCCTCCACCGTCCCAAATAAAGCTTTATTCGGGTCTAAAGTTTCCCTAAGCTTTTGAAAAACCCAACCTCATCCCCTTCCCTTTATGGGGAAAGAACCATGCCAGACTTCCATGAGAACTTCTGTACTCTCTTATACACTAGACATGTTGTACTTTTTCTATCCCTTAGACACAGGGAAATTATCTAATCACTTATTTGCAACATATAATTTGCTCCTTTCCAGGTAAGAACCCCATGGATAAATCTTTAATATGTTTTTTTAAGGGGTGTAGGTTTTCTTGTCCTTTGATGCTAGAGCACCTGAAGGTCAGATACTCAAAGGATTTTCATTTTATAAAAGTTTTTTGTGTCAAGGCCCATATTGTATCTTCTTAATATCTCTCATCCTGAATTAAAAATGTACCCAGTCAAATGCTATCAATGCTATCAAATGCTATCATGTCCTTTTTCCCTCCTTCATCTGCCTTTTACCATGGCTTTTGGAGTTACTCAGCAGCAGTCTGCAAATACCATCCTCCTTTCTTTTGCAGCCGTCCATCCCATAATTCTCTTGAGCCTGACTCAATCCTCTGCCATGCCACCAGACAGCAGCCACCAGACAGCAGCCACTGAGCATCTTTCTATCCTCAATGTAACTGACTTCAGTAGATCTGATCGGTTGCCTTTATACTTCATACTTACCCATAGCAAAAACCCAAGTTCGAGTTACCCTTTACATCTAAATCCAGGTTGTTCACCATTTCTTGTAGTGATCGAACTTCAATTATTTTTTTACTGATTGGTACCGTCTTAGTAAGTGTTCTATTGCTGTGAAGAGCCACCATGACCACAGCAACTCTTATAAAGGAAAACATTGGGGCTGGCTCACAGATTTAGAGGTTTGTTTAGTCCATAATCATCATGGTGGGAAGCATGGTGGCATGCAGGCAGACATGGTGCTAGAGAAGTAGCTGAGAGTTCTACATCTGGATTGGCAGACAGCAGGAAAAGAGAATGACACTGGGCCTGGCTAAAGCTTCTGAAACCTCAAAGCCCACCCCCAGTGATATGCTTTCTCCAACAAGGCCACACCTACACCACCAAGGCCACACCCCCAATAATGCCACTCCCTGTGAGTCTGAGGGCCATTTTCTCCAAACCACCACATTCCTCTCCCCAGCCTCCATAGACTTGTAGCCATATCATAATGCAAAATGCATTTAGTCCAACTTCAAAAGTACCATAGTCCATAACCGTTTCAACCCTGTTTAAAAGTCCAAAGTCTCTCTAGAGACTCATGGCAGTCTCCTAACTGTAACTGCTGTAAAATCAAATTTTAAAAGCAGATCACATACTTCCAACATACAATGGTAAAGAATATACATTGCCATCCTAAAAGGGAGGAAAGGGAGCATAATGAGGAAATATTAGACTAAAACAAGACAAAAATCCAGCTGGGCAAACTCAAAACTCCACATCTGTCTCTGATGACAAAATGTTCTTCAGAACTCCAATTCCTTTTAGCTTTGTAGACTGCAACACACTTTCTCTTTGGCTGGTTCCACTTCCTGTTATCAGCTTTCCTTGGCTGGTATACCACAGCTGTGGCATCTCCAACATCTTGGGGTCTCCAAGGCTATTTAGGCTTCAACTTCACAGCTTCACACAATGGCCTCTCTGGGCTTCCATGCAGGAATACCCCTGACACATGCCTGGCCTCAGATACTTTCCTTAGTTATGGAGGATGATTCCATAATTCCTTTCCTGTATGCTTGACTCTAAAGCCAGAACCACTTGGCTGAAGCTTTCAAGTTCTGCTGCTTGCTGGGGCTGGAATATACCCCTACCTTGTTCAAATACATTTTCACTAACTTTCTGTTTTCAATGATTTCCTTTACTGCCTAAGTTTGGCTATCCTAGAGCTCACTGTATAGAGTTCATGCTGGCCTTGGACTCAGAGATCTGCCAGCCTCTGCCTTCCAAGTGCTAGGATTAAAGGTGTGCGCCACTATGCCCGGCCCTAAGCTTTCATTCATTTCCTTTTTACAAGTTGGAAGCTTACCTGGGTAGGTTCTTGCTCTGAAGTCACCACTCCCTTTATTCCACTTAGCATCAGGCTTTTCTTTAATCTGTTTATACTTCCTGGTGCTATTTTCTCCTCAAACTGTACATTTTCTATTTTTCCTCACTCAGCTTGTTCCTTTTCATTACAGATCTTCACAAGACTGGCCACTAATAACCACACAACACAGTCAACACTTGGCTATTTAGAATTCTCCTCTGCAAACACAATTAATCCAAAACTCTTTAGCCTCAGGCAGACTTTTTGGGCAAGGGCAGAAAGCAGGCACATTCTTCATCAATATATCACATCATGAATAGTCCCTAGGCCACAGGCTAACACAACACATACTAACATTCTTCTCCTCTGAAACATCTTGAGTCATGCCCCCACTGTTCAAATCACCCTCAGCACCAATGTTTTCCATTCTCCTGCTATTGGCCCATTAAGCCCCACTTAAAATGTCCAATAGTTTTTCTAGTCCAATGTCCCAAAGTGTCCCTTATTCCTCCACACAAAAACATAGTCCAACCTATCCCAGCAAAACCCTACTCCCAGTACCAACTTCTGTCTTAGTCAGTGTTCTATTACTGTGAAGATACATCATGACCACAGCAAATCTTACAAAGGAGAACATTTAATTAGGGCTGGATTCAGATTCAGAGGATTACTCTATCATTGTCATAGCAGGAAGCATGGTGACATGCATGCAGACATGACGCTGGAGAACTAGCTGAAAGTTCTACATCTGAATTGACAGGCAGCAAGAAGAGAGAGTGTCACTGGGCCTGGCTTAAGCTTCTAAAACCTCAAAGCCCCCCCCCCCCAGTAACACACTTCCTCCAACAAGGCCAACACACCTCCAATAAGGCCACTTCTTGAGTCTATGGGGGACCATTTTCATTCAAACCACCACAGGTACCAAATACCTTCGACTGAATTAAATCACTAACTTTTCTGTCTTCACTATAAGATGTAGTTAAAAGCAAAATGTTTCTATTTTAAGAGAAAAATAAGATTCTATATAACTACATAGCAAATTACCCCCAAAGTGGCAAGTAGCAACTTCTGTTGAGCAGGGATCCTAGTGTAGCATGACTGAGTCTTCCATCCTAAGGTCTCTCCCAGGGCCATAGTCATCTCAGGACTCAGCTAGGAAGGGTGTTCTTCCTAGCTCACACATGTGCTTATAGGCAGAGTTTAGCTCTTGAGGGGTGGGAGTTGGACCTGGCCTTCCTTAGTTCCTTTGTATAGGCCCTTCTATAGAGCATCTCACAAAATTCAGCCAGCTTCAACAGGGCGAGCTGAAGGGAGTGCGGGCAAGATGGAAGTCACAGTCACCTTGAGTACGATCACAAAAGTGGCATCCTATCTTTCTGCCATATTCTCTCCATTAGGAGTCAGTCACTAGAAAATAATCTTATCAGTCATGAGACACTAATAAAAAATGTTGTGTTTATGGGCTTGTTGATTTATATGTATCAGATCGAATCAGTGAGCTTCAGACTACAAAGTCAATCCATGCAAATCTACTGTTGAATTTCTGGGTTGTGATGTCCTATTATGCCACATCACTGTCCACACAAGCAGGAGCTGTGTGTCTCCTTTCTGAATATTCTTCATAAATATGACTTCTACATCACCAATGTTAACATGATGGTCTTAGGAAATAAAAGGTGACTTTTATTGTTATTGATGCTAGGTTTTTCATTTTAACCCCAGTTATAGGCAAGAGAACTTGACCATTATCATTATAAAGTATGTCTTGGGGAGGCAGATTTTTAAGACATCTCCCACCCCCTCTGTCCTGAGTCTGTGAACATTTTTGTGCTTACGTCACCTTTTCCTGTCTCTGCTAGGGAAGTATGGTCAAATTCTATTAGGACATAAGCATGTTAGAAAAGAAAAAACATTTTTGGAAAAATAACAAAGCTAAAAAGTCGAATGACATCCTTTAAGTCTAGGCTTCATCAGAGCGAATAAACCAAAGGGACAGTTGACAAGAAAATCAACAACAAAACACCACCTATGAGCCGCAATGGAGTTAGCTGAGGGTCAGAGCTTAAACACCTGTAAGGACAAGATAACACAGACTAGTGGTACCTGTGGTGAGAAGACAAAATCAGGCATTGAGGGACAGACTTGGCTATGGCTTTCGCTTTGCTACTCCTGTATCATATAGGAGGAAAGAAATGAGACTTCTAGTGATGAGCTCAGCGATTTACTTGAGGGTTGGAAGAGAGTATTATTACAGATGTGGCATTGTCTCAATTTAGCTTCGCCAAGTCCCCACTCTTAAAGGTGAGTTCTTTCAAGGACTTTAAAATGCGAATGTGCCGGGCGGTGATGGCACATGCCTTTAATCCCAGCACTTGGGAAGCAGAGCCAGGCGGATCTCTGTGAGCTCAAGGCCCACCTGTTCTACAGAGTGAGATCCAGGACCGGCACCAAAACTACACAGAGAAACCCTGTCTAAAAAAAAAAAAATGCGAATGTTTCTTAGTTGGAATCTTGATGGCTAAGGCAGACACGTATCAGCTTTAGGGGAAAAGCATTCAAGCAATGTAATTCCTTTAAAAGTCTGGAAAGGAAGATTCAGTCTTATTCCCCTGTCACTTAGAAAAATGACAGGAACTTGTTCCCATCTCTTCTCCTGTTTTTTCAGAATAACAATGCGGAAGCACAGGCCGCAGGCACAGATGCTCCCATGGTGCCTTTTGACAGGGTAGCTCTTCCTCCTCTCACCCCATCACTCATCCTCTGTGTGGGTCTCATTCTTTTTACTTCTGTGTCCCCCTCCCCCTCCCCTCCTGTTGGTGTCCTGAACTCTGGGACACCCCATTATTGGCCTGAACATCAGTTAAAGACATGGTAAAAGAGAAGCTCTCATACACGCACATACACCACATTCGTGTCTGGTCACTGGTGTGGCAGGGTCTATGTGAGATCTATGGAGTCTTAGAAATGATTTAATTGTTCCAGAACAAACAAGTATGCTTCCTGATATAAGGGGCTGGCAACCTTTTTTCTTGTAAAGCCCACCCCACACTTTACTGACCATATATCTTCCCTTGCAACTATTCAACTCCATTACGGAGTGAAAGCAGCCACAGAAAATTCAGAAATGAATGTGAGTGTGTTTCAATAAAACTTTAATGACAAGAATAGGCAATAAGCCATATTTGACCTGTGAAACGTAGTTTACTGACACCTAGCCGACATTAGCAATAAATCTCCAGCTAGATAGAGAGTTTTTGTTTCGAACAGTCTGTTAGTCAGGAAAGAAATTCAGATCAGAAATAGTGCCCTACTATGTCAGACTAATGTAAGACCCCAGGATGACCCAACAGCCTCCTGGCATCACCCCAAAAATTCTGTGTGATAAAGATATTGTGTAGTGACTGAGAAGGATGACATTGGCTATACATCTATCTGTTAGAGAAGATGTCACTTTTGGGGGGCCATCTTTGTGGAAACACTTCAGGGCTTCACACATATCAGTCAATACATAGTTGTTTATTAAGTCCCTCTCTGAGATCTGACCTTGGCTATTCCTTCACAGTGCCCTCACACAGCTCTAACTCTTACACACAGGGGGGGAAAAGAACCCAAAGTCTCCAACCTTGGCATTTGCTAGCTTCTTATGCCTCCTCTCTTTCACACAGATATTGTGCTGAATTTTGAGTTTGTACTCTCCTCCTCTTCCTGCCCATAACTATTGCTTGGCATCTTTATCTGCTCCCTAGAATTTCTACTATCCCCTGCACATGAGTGACCAACAAACCTCTACCTCTGAGTGTATAGACCTATCTCCCCAGGAAACCCACATAAGATATCAAACTAACATGTCCAAAGAGAGCCTATGTTGAAGGAAAAGTGGCCTGCACCTCAGAGTTTAATTTAGCATTATTCGTTGTGGAAATAGTGGAGAGAGCCTCTACACACCAGATACTTTCCTTAACACAGGCTTATGATAAAGAGCAACACAAACATAGCCCATAGCCCTTGGCTTCACAAAGCATGTATTCCAATAAGAAGAGAGATATAGATATAGAATAGCTATAGATACCTGTTTTCAATGACATCACTTCATTATATATCATGAATAATATATGTAACATGTTACACATATCACTAATGTTTTCATTATTTTACAAATATGATAATATACTTTAATGTGTTATGTTGTAATATTACACATATAGTCATGCATTATATATGTTGACTTTATTATAAAGAAAGCTCAATAAATAGACACAGAACACTGGGAATACATAAGGAAAGAACAGCTGGCTTGCTGTAATACTGTAAAAATCAGTCTTTTTTTCAGGAAAAGGGGTTGGTGCCACTGAAGAATGGGGAAGGAAGAAAGAATAATATCCTTGAAGATCAAAAACTTGAGTAATGTGATGTCTATAAATTTTGAAGTAACAACAAACTGCTGAGCTCCTTCTCCTTACTCCCGTGCCCAGCCCGCTGTGTAAGCTGGGCGATGAGCTGTTGCCAGTGAAACAAACCCCAAATGTCAGTGGTTTAACTCTTGACTCTGACTGTGCATCCACAGAACGTCCGTCGTCACAGTCCTTCCTCCGGCAGTTAGGAACCTGGGTCGCTTCTGTCGTGTGTTTCATCTTGCTACTATATAACAACTGCCATGAAGCATGAGAGTCAGGGGCCTGGAAGGCCACACAGGATATTCTGTGGGACGTCAGGCCTAGAAGTGGACCACTCACTTTAGACCACATTAGATTTCCCGGGGGGTCAAGTTCATGGCATTCACTAAACTGCAAGATAGAACAAGAAGGACAAACTCACTTTGCAAGAAGTGATGACAGAATTCTTTAGATTCAACCCATCCTGTGCCCAAAACACCATTTCTTCTCTGCCCCTCAGCCTCCATCCTTCTTCATGTGAGTTACTTCAGTTCAGTTCCCAGGTCATATTTCTTTAAGATGCATCATAACAGCCTTTCTCTGAGCAAGATCAACCGTTTGACCTCTCCACGGTGCCATTGTATCCTATTGACTAGTTTTTCTTGGTAGCTGGAGATTAACATCTTTGCTGTACTGTCTTCATTATCTAAGTGTGGAGCACCCAGTACTGGACTATAATAATGCTCACTTCATGTTTACTGGACTGAATGAAGCCACACAATAGAGCCGGTTAGAGATCCATCTTGAATGGGGCAGGGAAGTGTTTTTAAAGATATTTCCTGACACAGAGCCTTTTCTTCCCAAGGCTTTACAAAGGGGTAGGGCAGCTCCTTTGTGCATAAATCACTGTAACAGTGGCGGCCTTGATGTCCTAGAGAGTTCCTGCCTAATGCTTCGCACTGAGCTCCTTCTGTTTGCAAGGGAAAAATCAATAGCTAGTAGGTTCTTTAGGAACAGGTCGGGAGATGCAATGTTTCCCTAAAACTTTTTTCTCCTTGAGATGGCAAATCCTACCATTTATAGAGTGCAAAGTAGCTACAGCAGTTGGGGTCAATAGATATTCAAACAGATATTCAACGGTTAGGTGTGAGAGCAGGACAGTCAAAAATTCACCTGTTTTTTTTTTTTCCAAAGTTTTCATGCAGTTTTGAAAAGCAAAATGGCTGCTACATTCTTCCAAAAGAACTAAGAGGGGGGATTTTTCAAAATCTTACTTTAAATGAATTTATTGTGGAGCAGTTTACAACAGAGACCAGAGAGCTGAAATCTTGTTGTGCTAACAAACCCTTCCCCGATGTTTGTAGAGAAACAGAGAAGATAAGGGAGTAAACAAGTCCTCATCTAATGCCATTCCTCAGTAGCTGTCCACCTCCAACTTTGAGCGCTTCACCTCCCTTAGCTAAAGAGTAGTGGGTGCCTTGGAGTTACGCTGTAGTCACTGGTGAGAATGAAAGGAATTCTTTATCTGAGCATTTTTTCTCTTCCTTGCATCTATTTTCAAGGAACAATCACAATTTAGAGCTGGAAGGGACTTTAAATATCCAGGATGCCTTCTAACCTGCATCCTTTCTTGGGTAAGCAGAGGAATTCCAGATGAATTGTTCCTTAGTAATGAAACTAGAACTAAATTCCGGCCACTGGCACTTGGGACAGTTATCTCTTGAGTGAATACTGTGCCATTTCATAGGCCTGCAGCTGGAGGATGAGTGTGTGTGCGAGAAACAGAAAGGAGACAGGACAGGAGAGAGCCAGAAGATGAAAGCCAGAACAAGAGTGTCTCTAAAATCAGACTTCATTTTAGGATTCAGACTTAAAAGGCAGCTTTTGAGACCTCCATGGACCTCTCAACCCTGTGCTTGAAGCTGAACAGGAAAGAGTATTGGTAAGGATCCAAGAGACCTGAAAAGGCAGGAAAGAGACAGTCTGGAGAAAGAATGAAGGCTTGCGTAGGTCAGGTCAACTGTCCAGCAGCCTCCGGGGCCTTGCTTCTCCTTAGAGGCAGCCGTAGAGATGACATCACCAACAGCAGACTTCACCGCATCCAGAAAAAAGAATGCATAACAGAATAAAGAGAAATAAGTAACTAATCTTATTCATTTCTTCTGCGATCTGGGCAGAGAAGAAAGGAAAATGGGCAAGATGGAAGGAAATTCTCCAGAAGCTAGTGGGACACATCTTTACAGCATTAAACTCCATGGAGATGACATTTTGATAGGATTAAGCCAGAGAGCAGCATGCTGTAATGGTTGGGAATGTGGCCAGATTCCGAATTTGATGCTTGGCTGTGCTCTGCCTAATTGTGCAACCATGAACAAGTTTCTAAACTTTTCCCTGCCTGGTTCCTCACCTTTAAGTAGAAGTAATGATTTTCTTACCCTGTAGGCATGTTGTGCCTATTAAGTGGCTCCATGGTATAAATTGGGCACTTAAAGTGGAGCCTAGGTTAGTGTACATGCTCGACTGGGGCCTATTAAATGCATTTTCTAAAAGAAGGTTGAAAGTGAATCACGGAATTTGTAATATTCCTTCAGTGCATTAATGATACTTGAAAATTACTACTCTGGGCATAAACAATAAACAAAACAGTCCATATTATTTATTCATAAAATAGATACTCATGACCTGCCTGCCTCATGTCAGGTGCTGTTCTGACTTTTGAGCATTTGGTATGAAACAAGGCTTACAAGGTCACTATCCTCGGGCAGACTGTATTCTGCCGATAGAAGGCAATAAACATATAGAATATGGGGTATTGACAGATAACACTGTGGGCAATTACTAGCAAGGGAATGGACAGAGAATGATGGGAGTATACACATGCTAATGTAGGCAGATAAACTGAGACTCAGCTAAAGCCGTTTAACTGGGGGTCTTAATCACCTCTCTGTATCGTCTAAACATCATCTCCTTCAAAGCAAGCAGAGGCTGCAAGCTGAGAGGAGTACGTTAAATAATCCGTTTCCAGTGTCTTAGGGAACTTGCAACTTTTCAAGGGCTCAAAAATGAACTCTCTTGGGCTTCTGTCAAACCCAGTTTAATTCCAGTTTAGCCACCTACCACTTACGTTGCCTTTAGGCAAGTTACCAAAATTCTCAGCTCCTCAAAGTTCTTATTTGTTAGATGAAGGTAAGAGCAGAAACTGCTGTATCATGTTTAGGTTGAGTTACAAATATAACAGTACAAATGAAGGTCCTGGCATTTAGACCCAGTTAATATTATGCCCACCTACTTGTGTTCAATACATCCTCAAATACAAAGATCCGTAGATTTTTGGCGACAGTCTTCCATAGGACAGAAAGTAACCCGGAAGAGATGCATTTGCAGACATCAGAGTAGCTGACTGTCACATCACTGCGATGGCATCTCACAGAAAGCTTACCACCACTCTCCACTAGTAGACCTTGCATAATTTGATTACTCATTATCTAGAAAGAAAAGGAAGAAAAATGATTGTCATCATCTGCTAACTTAACTATGTTGGAATACATTTGGGGTGATTACTTCACCCATCAGAGCTAGAGGAGACAGTGTTTAAAGCTATGACCGGAGCCTCACTGTATGAGAGACTGAATGAACCAGCATAATGCTGAGAAAACTGCGTGTCTCTACATGGTAGAGATGATGCAACTTACCCCAACATAGTGGAGCCAACAGAGGACGGAGAAGAGCTTCAAGAGCAAAGGTTGAATGTGTGTGGCATGGAAGGAAGCAGAAGAAGACTAAGAGAGTGAGTCATCAAACCTTGACACTGTAGCTCCTGAAAATAGATCATGGCATTTTGATGCCATAGAAACACACAAGGATGTGAATTTACTCAAAATTTATAGAATAACACACCTACCAGTTTGCATAAGCCATTGTCAAGCCACACTGTTGCCTAATTCCATGCATTTATTAGACAGTTGAATACAGTTTGACTATAGTCTTGTATCTTCATCTATTAACATTCAAGTGAAATGATTATTCTGTAGATCTGCAGCAGCATTGAGCATGTACAGAAGTCCTAGATACAGTGTAAGTGGGGAAAAAAAAAGGATGAATTTATCCAGTGATTGCAGCAAAGGGCAGAGCATGGACTGAGCTATGATGGGAGCCAAATCGCAAGCTTTGGATACTGCCTGGGGGGATGGGAGGAGGCTTCTTCTCTTCAGGCTTAGGAGAGGGTTTCTGGAGGAGGAAGCAGATGATTCAAGTAGCTATTCCTGTGTACCTTGAAAGCTTCGTTGTGAGATTTTTAAAACGGCTCACAATGCTCCAAAGCAAAAAAAAAAAAAAAATGACCAAAGCATTTGTTTAGCTGGCTTAGGCAGATAGGCATGCTATTTTTTCTTCTTTGTAATAACCATCCTCTAACATATAGCTGGCACCACCAATCCTGCCACGAATTTCATTCATCACATCGCCCTTCGAGGTATTGCAAGTCAAACATGCTGGTCTCATTAAGCAAGCACCTGCAAGTCAGCTATGGCATAGTTAATATCTTTCCACCCCAAGCTAGACATCGTCTCATGGCATGTTATTTATTTGTGTTAGAGATAGTGGTGATCAATGGGACGTTTAGATTTCAAGACTGGAAGTCCTCCCATCCATCTTCTGCCTTCAGATTCTGTCCTGATGGTTGATCTCCTGAAGACCCATATAATAAATAGTCTACTTGGAAATCTACATGTCCTAAGATGTTCCCAAGCATGCCCACAAGACACTGCAAAGTAAACTCTTGCATTAATAGCAAATATTTAAAGAGGTATTCTCTATATTCCAGTCATATTCCTAAGCACCATCGGGTTAATTCTCAATTAACTCATTTAGATCTTGCATTTAAGTTCCTGTGTCACAGGTAAAGAACAAGACCAAAAAGAGTTCAGTCATTTGCCTAAAGTCACACAGCTGGTAAGTGGCAGAGTCAGAATTCGAGCCATTCTGCCTGGTCCAGAGTCTATACTCTTGCCTGCTTTCCCTCATAGCCTCTGCTATCACAGTAGCAGGCCTCTGTGCTCTGTAGAACCAAGCACATTTCTGTGTCCTGTGGAACCAAATGTTATATCTCTGTGTTCTGTGGAACCAAATGTTATATTTCTGTGTTCTGTGGACCCCAATGGTCTAGCTCTGTGTTCTGTGAACCACAATGGTCTAGCTCTGTGTTCTGTGAACCCTGATGTCATGTCTCTGTCTTCTGTGAACCCTGATGTCATGTCTCTGTCTTCTGTGGACCCTGATGTCATGTCTCTGTCTTCTGTGGACCCTGATGTCATGTCTCTGTGTTCTGTGGACCCTGATGCCATGTCTCTGTGTTCTGTGGACCCCAATGTTCTGTCTCTGTGTTCTGTGGACCCCAATGTTCTGTCTCTGTGTTCTGTGGACCCTGATGTCATGTCTCTGTGTTCTGTGGACCCTGATGTCATGTCTCTGTGTTCTGTGGACCCTGATGCCATGTCTCTGTGTTCTGTGAACCCCAATGTCCTGTCTCTGTGTTCTGTTGACCCTAATGACATGTCTCTGTGCTCTGTGGACCCTAATGACATGTCTCTGTGTTCTGTGGACCTGGCCATCGTGTCCCTGTGCTCTGGGATCATTTCCCAGTTCATTTGCCATTAGGAAAGGGCCACTAGTCATTTTTATTATCTCCGTCTTTCATTATCTTCATTTTCTACTGACCTCACTTTCAATGACCAGGAATGCCACTTTTTGTTTCTTTTTTTAAAGCTCACAGATTCCTGATGCTCTTAGATGAACAGACTAACAAGAAGCTCTAGCATCCTTTCATGTCTTTCAGAGAAAATCATTTTAGCCTTACTTCTTGTTCTCAGAATCCATGATGGAATAAATGCCCAACAGATACACTTTAAGTAATTTTTAGGGTTACAATTTATGAATTGTGAAAGTTCTGACAGGTTAAAAGCCTTACCTTAAATGCATGCTCAATTCTAACCCTTGAATCTCTCTTCTCTTAGAAACCACTACTTGTAGCAAAGGCTTGTGTTTTCTGATTTTCTAAATACTAGGAAGTAAATGTATTACAGAAACTTTGGAATGTGAAATTTTCTCCACAAGTGTATAAAAGATGATTACAGGACATGTAGAAAAGATTGATCGCCTTGCCTGTCGCCTCTGAGACTCAATTACACCATCATCTGTCAGCATTTCCTGGCATCCACTTGGACAGAACACTTTTTCTTTGCCTTACATGATGTAGTCACAAACTAACAATTCACCATATAACCAGGACATTAGCATCCAGGGCTCAGATCCAGGGACAAGAGCCAGTGCATCTACAAATACAGAGCCTGCAACACCCATCAGACAGCCACTGATCCATCCACCCATTCAATCATACCGTGATTCCTGTTGGCCCCGCATGAGGTTCTGAGATAGAAATGGAAAAACAGATAAAGCTTGGTCTGTGCTTCAAGTAGTTGTACCCTACATTTAGACAGAGATGGGTGTATCCAGAGCTAAAATATTATGTGAAAAAATGCTGTGAGAGGAGAAAACTAAATGCATGGGATCAGGGAAGGATTTCTGGATGGATAGATGGATGATGCTTCAAGTCAATCTCAAAGAATGAATGGGGTTTTTAGGACACTGAATGAGCCACTCTGGGAGAAGATGCTGCCTGTTAGGAGTGGGCAGGAAGAAGAAAGGGAAGGCTGCCTGTGTATTCTCTTCTTGTGTTCTTATCTTGGTGTGTGTGTGTGTGTGTGTGTGTGTGTGTGTGTGTGTGTGTGTGTGTGTCCCACTCCACATATTAGCCCCAAGAGAAACTATGCAAGGAACACTCAGATTTTCCCATCTCAATCAAATCTTTCATTCTCTAAAACATATAGAAACTCTGGCTCTTAATTTTTATTTTTTAATGTTTTTTTAATGTCTACCAAAGAAAATTATTTATTCCTGAAGTTAGGGACCTTTCAGCCTTTCGCTTTTAGACAGTGCCTAGAAATTTGTTACGTATCTGTTCTCTGCCTTAGCATTCTCCCTGAATTAAAAAAGTTACAGATTTTAAAATGGTTTTGGTAGCCAACTCTCTGGAAGTGGCTCCATTAGTGGAGCTGAAGATTCTCACTCACTCCATTGTCTGAAGAAATTAAATATTCTGAGATAACAAAACAAAAACTGAGGCCCAAACTTTCCCCAACAACTGAGCTTTCTCCTCTTGACCACTGTTCCCATTCAGGGAGAGAAACATTTCCTAGACCATTCTTGAAGTATTAGTATCCAAAAGTTCCTCGGGTTGTTTGATGTCTGCATGTGTGCATGTGTGGGTACATGCATATTGATTTAGTTTTGTTTTTCTGAGGAGGTTGCTTGCTCTGTTTGCTTTTGCAGGGCTGAGACATGAGACTAGGGCCTCGGACATACTAGTCGAGTAGTTTAGCTTGGAGCTGCATCTCTAGCCCTTGGGTTTTTTGGTTTGTTTTGTTTTGTTTTGGAGGACAGATTCATGCTACATATCCCAGGCTATCTTGGAATACAAGGTCCTCCTGCTTTTGTCCCCCAAGTGGTGGGATGACAGACATCTGCCACCATCCCTGGCATAAAGGAGATTCTTGGGAACCCCAACCCAGGCTTCACAATGAGCGTAAAGCATTGAGCATGGAGCAACATTTTTCCATATGTTCTGGATCTTCAGAACCTCCCAGTATGGTTCTGTCTTGGATGCCTTACAGTGCCCTAGAACACTGGCTGGCTGTGGACACCTGCCCTATTCTACCTCTCTTGTTATAGTTTATTGTGGTGCTATCTCTTGTCACCGAAGCTTAAAATCAAGTCACCAGGTCGCATCCAAGGGTGGTGCCAAAACCACTAGTAATTATATCCAAGAGCTCCTTCAGAGCTACAGGTACCCAATGTGTTGAAGGTACCAATAGCCATTCTCCTGGGGTGGTGGCCAGTGTCTTCCTACCAAGGGCACCTTGACCAATGCCAACTGGATGTTCTGCCAATGCCACTGAAGCCTGCCAAGACTGGTATCATTGCCAACTGCCAATGCCCAGAGTTGAGGGCACCAATATCTGCAGTAGGGCACCATCTCTGCTTGCTGATTAAGTTCCTGAAGCCAATTGTGCTGACTCCTTTTGTTCCCAGTGTCCTCCCTCACCCCTTCCAAAATCACACTGATGATGTAGGCCTCTTTATCTTAAGTCCTGGCCTGTGGGATAAGGACCAGGGCTCAGTGAGAGCGCCAGAACCTGAAATGCATTCAGAAGTACCAGCCCATCAGATAAGTAGCTTTTGTTCCTTGAATCGAATGCATCTGCTTTAGCTTCCCTTTCTGAACAGAGATTTTTGATGTTCCTGGATACCTCATTTGACACAGACCCCTTCAAGAGCAAGCCTGCCAGTCATCCATACATTCCTACACATAATAGGTAAACACGGTTTTGTTCAAGGTGAGAGCTGCGGCCCACAGCTCTCGTCAGCTAATGGTGACAGGCTCCAGGTCCATGTGAGGAAACAAAGATTTTATTCTGTGTTTCAGGAGATCATGCCGACCTACCTGAAAAGTCTCTCCAGACTCTAACCATTTACTACAACCGTTTTTCTGGTTTCTGTTCAAGATGGTATCTTCTTTCCTCTGGATGGCTTCCACTGCCTCTGAAATGGCCTTTCTACTCACTATTCTCCCCACAGGAGATAGAATGATTCCTTTGAAACATAGACCAGAGCATGTCAGACCTCTGCTCACATGCATGCACTGACTTTCTGCTTCCCTTGCCAGGCTTCCTAGACACTAGACTACCAGTTACCTCTCTGACCTGAATCCCATTCATCGGCAGCTACACACTGAACCCACACATTGGTCCTGTTGTTTCTTGAAAGCTCATTGGGCTTCCCCCTTCCTGGGGGCCTTTGTGTTAGCTGCTCTCTACCTGAGTCTTCCCCCCACTGTCTTCGAACTCCTCAGAGTTCCTGAATGAAACCTCCCCTGACAACCCCCTAGTGCTGCTCCTCCCCCTCCACACACACCCCAGAGTTCCAAGTCCCATGTTGTACTTCCACTTTCAGACATAGCACCCAGTGTGTTTTGCCTCTGACCATCATCTGTCTCCCACGCTTAGAATGGAAAGACAAGGACTGGCCATATTGGACATTCTGTTCACTGAGGCCTCCAAAGGAGTTCCTTGGGTACAGTCGGCACAGTTAGTTTTTGAAGAGTAAAAACATCAGTGGATAGATGGATGGAGGGTAGGTCTGA